AGTTCTTAGTTGACGAAGAAGGGGTAAACTTGTAAATAAATTGTCCATAAAAAGTTTATGATTTTTATCTTGCAGGTCATGACATAGTTGTAAAACTGTATCTCCAATGGGTCCAAAATTTGACCTAACTGCACTTTTACACTGACCTTGATACAGGTCAAAACAATTAACATACCCATTTCTGTTTGCTTGCACCCAAACTTTGAAGCCCCATTTTTTGGGTTTAGCTTTCATATACTGCTTCAATCCACTTCTTCCTTTGAAGGGAATTATCATTTCGTCTATTGCAATGTGTTCATCTGGAGACGCAGCACCATGAAATGAATCATGTAACATTGTAATAACTGGTCTTAATTTCCAATATCTATCAAAACCTGGTACAGAATGATCTGGTTTTTTAGTATTATCTTCAAAATGTAAAAACCGTTTAATTTCTCCAAATCGGTTTACATTCATGGCATCAGCAATAAAGTTCATTCTTATACCTGGTAAACTAGACCAATACATCCTCACATTTGGATATCTTATATATGTCATAGCAATATTTATAGCAAAATATGTTTTTAATTCTTTCTCTGTCAATGTAAATGAATCTTTACCATTTTCAACTGCATAACGAATGGTTTCTATTCTTATATGTTCAAACATTTCATCAGTAAATAATTGAGTAAAGTATGAATATGGTGTATTACGTGTCTGATTAATATTTATTACTGATTTACCCAAAAATAATGGTACATTTTCAGCAAACTTGTTATCTTTTCCTGGTGACCATTTGTTGATAATTTTTTTTGACACTTTTTTTTTAACACTTACATTTTTTTTTGAAATTATCTTCTTTTTAATTTTAATTTTAATTTTTTGTTTGGTAACTTTTTTCTTTGATACTTTTTTCTTTGATACTTTTTTTGTAAAAGTTTCTATAAAATAATAAACAATAAATTGTATAGTAAACTACTCTAAGTATTCCAATTACAATAGTTTACCCACTAAAAGTTATAATATTTATGTTACATTATATTTTTACCTGATGGTGAAACATTACTGGTAGCAGACTTGCCTTCTGGTTCACTTGGCAAATTATCATCATTATTAATTTTTTGTCTGTTTGAAGGAGTACCTAAAGAATAAAAATAAATAGCTCAATAGATTGTCACTATTTCTTATACTATTAAAACATTATATATACTTACTGGTTGGTAATATTAAGATTTCATCAGGTTTATTCTGGGATGAAGAAGCAATATTTTCATCATAAAGTCTTAATTCTTCTTCAATCTCTTTATGAAATTGATTGATTAGTTCCGATGTAACCAATAATTCATCTATATTGTCATCTGATGATGGATTTTCAACAGTTTTATTTTCAAAGAATAAATCGTCTTCATCATCGTCTGAAGCACAAAAACTGGCATCAGAATCACTGGGTATATCAAAATCCAAGAAAAACGAAATATCCTTTTCCCTGAGATTCATATTTGCCTAGTAAAAGAAAAAGAGAATATTAAAAAAATAATATACTAGACAATCAATATATTTATTTACTAATTTTCATTTCGTGTTATGCATAGTGGTATCATTTGATACCACATAGTTACTAGGCAATTAATAATACATAACTACATTATTCTTCTTTGATCTTATTATAAATTAATTTCTCATGTAATTTCACATCATAAAAGTAATTTATTATAATGATACTTACCCAATTTAGTAATTTTTTCGAAGATATAAAAAAAATAAAATTGTAAGTTTTGAACACGCGAAAACCGTTGATTGATATGATTATTATTCGTATTACGATAACATTAGTGATAACACGACTATTCAGAACGTTTCGTAACGTTCCGCACTTCAGATTAAAACATCAATAACACTGCAGCGCTGCTTTCTCGATTTTATACAATTATTTTTATTTGGTGGTATCATATGATACCGTTGTGCATGAAGAGGTTAAAGTTACACCAAAAACCAAATTCGATTTTTTGGAAAATCGATTTTGAGTAAAAGTTCCCGTTTTTCCTTAATTTTTATGTTGTTTTTCCCGGCGCTTGTGAAAACTACTGGGAAATTTATACTTTTGACCCCCCAAAGTACCAACTAGATTCACTTTCCTATCAGAAAAGCTATTGATGAAGAAAATCCAAGCACTTTTACTGTCCTAAAACGTGATGACAGACACAAAAATATAAAAATATAAAAACACACATCATTGTAAAGCCAATACATTCATCGCTCCGCTCAGAATCTAAAATAATAATATATAGGTACAATATAAATTTTAATTTTATAAATGATATAATATAATACACAAATTGTGAAAAATATAATAATAATAATGGTTTTAACTTGAAAATAATAACAAAGCTTTCATGGAAACATATGTGTCATATGTCAATAACATGTGTCCATATTTTTTTTTCTATAAGCGTTTAGAACCACATTTTGAATTTGACTTCTGATTTTGAGTTTTTCTAAAGGATCAAATTCTTTTATGTATGGTAGGATACTGAGAAGAAATTGAGCGTCTGGGTCCTCATTTTTTTTATTTTCTGTCTCTTGTGCTTGTTGCAGAATGGCAATTTTTTTTTCTTCTAGTTCTAGAAGTCTATGAGTATCATCTGCTTCACTATTTTTTTTCTTTCTTTTCATTTTTGAAGTAACCTTGGGATTAATATCGGTTAAATGTGACGTAGATGTAGACGGAGATGTCACATCAGTAAATGATGTACCCGTTACGTCAAGGTCACTTTCGTTGGCTTCATCAGTAGCTTCATGTAATGCAAATGAATCTGGTTCTCCAACATTTAAATTTCCGGACATAGAACTAGGAAGTAAAGAATCCTTTACAAACATCATCATTTGAAAAAATGGCCATTTAGATTTATATTCAATCCCGCTATCACCTGAACGTCTAATTGGTTCTTTTTGTAGTTCTTTTCTAAACGTATCCTTTGTGTTTTTTCCATTTTATTTTTGCATCGCTCCCTAAAATTTGGATACAAAATAATTTAAAAACCATGTTTTTCACTTATTTTGTATGTCAAATATTGTTTTATGATGGAACTTAGTTTAGTCGAATTAAATTTATTATTATTAAAGGTTCTGAGTGGAACGATGAGTAGGTATATTATTGATCTTACATTGATAATTTATTATGAAGTATTAATATAAGTCACTAACGATATTAACTATTAATTAATATTAGCAAATCTGAACTTAAAATAATTATAAAAAGAACTGTGTTTGAATAGTTTTTAGTTTCTTTTTTTTGCAGCAGAATTTTCTATTTACGTGGAACCTTGTTTTAAATTTTCAAGCAATAGCTATAAAATTTTAACGTTTTATACATTTTTAACAACTGAAGAATTTGTAAATTTTCAATTAAATAAATTTTTTCAAAATTTGAACTTCAAATGGTTATAAAAAAAAAACGTGCAAAATTGTATTGACATTTATAGAATAAAAAACTAAAAAAACGGAAATTTTCAAATCTCTATAAATAACTTAAAACATTTTATCAAGTATAGGAATTAATAAAATAAGCATATGGTGGAAATTTCAAGTCTCTACAGTTTTTCGTTTTTGAATAACATTAAAATAAGAATTCCTATCGGTACATGAGAAATTTAGTAAATAATAAATATCCATGTTGTAATTAAAATGCTCATAAAAATTTAATTAAACTTTTCGGTAGACATTTTTTTATTTGATAAAAGTGAAGAATCTCGTGAAAAATCTTGAATTAAATTGAAAAGCTTCAAAATTTAATATAAGGCTTCTAATGTATTGTCTCAAGGGTAATGAAAAAAATATTAAAAATATACATGGTCACAAATTTTTTTTAATAAGCATTGAAAGTTTAAATTTTGACAAAATACGTAAAAATCACGGAAATTTCAATTTATTTTGAGTTACAAAATCATAAAAATGTTATCTTTTTGAATCTAAGATTTGATAATTCAATATAAAATTCTTCGAGAGTTTGTCTACTTATATCAAATAAAAAATGTTTATTGGAAAGTCAAATTAAATTTTTATGAACATTTGAATTATACTTTGGATATGAATATCCACTCAATTTGTCTTGTACCGATATTCTTAATTTGTTGTTATTCAAAAACGAATATTTGTGGAAACTTTAAATTTTCACCATATGTTTATTTTATCAATTCCTATACTTGATAAATTTTTCAAAATATTTCAACTATTTTTAAGTTATTTATAGACATTTGAAATTTTATTCATTGCAGAATCAAAAATTTTGAAAATTTAATACAAGGCTCCTAATATATTGATACAATGCTAGTTGAAATATATTAATAGTACATAGTAACATCTTTTTTTTTAACTGCTTAAATTTCGAATTTTGACAATAAATTAATTGAAAATTTATAAATTCTTTAGTCGTTCAAAATTAAAAATAAGATTTATAAACTTTCATAGCTAAGTATTGAAAATTTAAAACAAGGTTCCACGTAAGTAGTTAACTCTACGGCAAAAAAAAATCTAAAAACTATACAAACACAGTTTTTTTTATAGTTATTTTAAGTTCAAATTTGGATGAAATAACATGTTAAATAATTAAGAAAAAAATTTAATTATATTGTTGTAATTTAAAAATGAATGTGTACATAATGAATCTAATTTAATTAATTTGAAAATTTGAAATTAATAAATATTAAATATTATAATTATTTAAATTAATTTACAGGTAGGTACATTTTTTTTCCTGAAATAATAGCAATATAATTATTAATTAATATATCATAAACAATAAAATATCCTAGACTGACAAACCGTCTCCGTTCAGAATCGTTTTTCGTATTCAACGAGATTTTATGTCATTGAATTAAAATTTAACACCATCCATTACAGGGACCCACTTCTAAAGTTGTAACCTATTGTATAAAATGATTTTTTAGTAATTAATAAATGTTTTTTTCCATAGATATTTATCAACTGGTCTTTCTTTTCGGAACCTTGCTTTTTCAATGCGAATGGGTGCATGCACTGTTGCTAAAATTGTTCACGAGACTTGTCTAGTTATTTGGGAAGAACTCGTAAATGAATTTATGCCAGTTCCTACAAAAGAACATTGGGAAAAAGTTAGTGTAGATTACAATGACAAATGGGGCTTTCCAAATTGCATTGGCTCTATAGATGGCAAACACTGTCAGATTAAATGTCCCAAAAATTCAGGATCAAGTCACTTCAACTACTTAAAATATTTTTCACTAGTTTTACAAGGAGTTGCTGATGCGGATAAAAAATTTATAATAATTGATGTTGGTGCCAGAGGTAAACAGAGCGATGGTGGAACTTTTGCATCTTCTAAACTTTGTAATTTAATAAGCAATAATAATTTGAATGTACCACCAGAAAAACATTTACCTGGTACAAATATTAAAGTACCCTATGTTTTGATCGGAGACGAAGCTTATCCATTAAAGCCGTACTTAATGCGCCCATTTCCATCTCGAGTACTAAATCCAGCACGGGAATATTTCAACGAAAGATTATCAAGTGCAAGATTATGCAAGTGCATTGAATGTACTTTTGGAATTCTACGCGCAAAATGGAGATTACTAGGGAAGGACATAGAAGTGAGCCCAAAAAAAGCAGTAGTAATTATTAAATGCAAGTGTTTATTGCATAACATTATCAGAGAGAAAGACGGCAATAGTGATGTCGATTACTGCAATGTTATGATAGATCAACGAAACAATTGGGAAAATGAAGGTATGGATCATCCAGCCCGAGGTGCAAATTCACTTCAAAGAGCGAAAGAAATAAGAAATGTATATGTAGATTATTTTTTAAATAACCCATAATAAGGTAGTTCAAAAATTTGCAAAACAGTTTTTTTTTTTTAAATCTTAAAATTAAATAAGAACTTAAATTATACCGATATAATTTAGTCAATAAATAACATAGATAATGATTATTCGTCAATTTTTATTATTATAATATTGTAAATAACACAGTAGGTATTATAGAATATTATTTATATAATAATACCTATACTAAAACAAATTACAATAAAATACTTCGAGTAAAAATGTGTGAACAGTCATCGAAAAATTGGTAGCTACGTAAAATATTAAAACAATATCTAATAATAATTCAGCCGTTTCCTATATTTTTAACCTCAAGTATTTTATTTTAGTAAATTATATTACCACAACAGTTGTAGTACAACTAGTTCTGAGGCACGGATCCATATAATTTTAACAGGGGGTTTAACAGACAAAACAAATTATTACACCTTACACCTTTCGATATAACTATAATAGAAGGTTATTTAATATTTTGAATAGGTAAATATTCATCTTATTGTAGGCCTAGACGAAAGGGATCCCCTCCCCCAACACCATGCTATGCATTGCCATATCATATGTATATGATATAATATTTTTTTTATAAATTATATACAAGTCTATTGTTGTAAAAAGTTAATTAGTCTAGTGATGATTTATAAATATTTTACATTAACATACTAAAACTGAATAGGTACCTATATTTTCAAAATATACATACCGGGTATTCCAACTAATTTTCCAATTTCACACCACAATTTTTTGTTTTTTTCGACATTTTTGTACTCAGGGTGTGTATCATCCATAGACTTATAATATATAGACCGCGCATTACGCTCTTTTTGTGTGTAACACTTTAAGCCAACATCTGTGCGAGAGAGAACACTGAACTGTATATTGTAAAGTGAGAGAGACAGACTCTGACATTACAATTTCAAGGAGTTTATAGACAATTTGTACATTACTCCTTGAGATTATAAATATTTAAAATATAAAATAATGATAACAAAATTGATAATATTGTGGCGAACCAGTGTTTCACCACATGCTCCCTCCCTATGTCGGTCGCGCTCCCTGTGTTGGCAACACCGCTCGGCCCTCCGCGTCGTTCGCGACCGCGAAGTGTCGGGCGGCTGCCAACAGGCTCTCGTCCCGTAACCGTCAACCGACGTACACGACCCGGGCTAGTAAAACGCCGCGGAAAAATAACCCACGTGTCCGCGTTTCGTCGTCTCGTAAATAAACCACGTCAGCACGCCCGCAAGCACGCCGCCGCTACCACTGGTACGCTCCGGCACCCCGAGGCACGACTTTGGTTTATCCCTACGACGACGCCGCGCTCCCCGACTTGTCGACTAGACCCGTGTGTCAGTCACGCGCTAAGTACTCGCTCATTTCGATCATCTCGCGACCGGCTCTCTCAACAATAACAATGCTGTAATCTGTACTCAATTAAATAATAAACGTATCCACCTACATCCGAGTTCGAGTTTATTATTCAGCGTATGTTGGCTGCGGGTAACAACCCACTTCACCCGTACGCCACAATATTTATTAAACTTCATTACTACCAAGGAGTATTATAAAATTGTTTATAATCTCCTAGAAAAAGTAATGTCAGAGTCTGTCTCTTTCGCACATATGTTGGCTTAAATATATTTCACTAATGCGCGGTCTATATATTATAAGTCTATGGTATCATCCCATAAAGATGGTCTGGTTTGTACTTCCGAAATTAAAATTTCTCGCATAGCATTATTAATATTTGATTTTGACATTATGAAGTATGAAATGAATACAGAGTAATTTACAAAATATGTGTTCACTATAAGCAGTATGAACTACAACTACAATGGTTTACCCATACTGCGTACAACTCAACAACAGAAATCTTCTGAACATATTTATTTATTATTTTGGAAACTTGGTACAATTCTTTAAATAGTAAAATAAACAAATTATGATTGTTTTGACGTTCATCGAGTATTAAGACCAGAATTTTAATCATCAAGACTATTTTTACATTGAATCATATTATATTAATAAATAAAATATCATCATTAAAATAAATATTTCATGAGCGGCGAGCGGTGAAATTCAAACATGTTTGATTTGAGACACGCCGCGCCGCTACCGCTCGCCGCTAGTAACCAATGTACACACTCCGATTTAAATTATATGAGTTTAAATTTTTTTCCCAACGCGCCGCTTGACGCTCGCCGCTCGCCAATGTACACGCGGCCTAAGTAGTCGGCTGCGACGCGCACCGGCGCCGGTTCGAAACCTGCTTGGTCGCTGCAGGCGTCATTTTTCTTCAGGCGTGTGTCGCCATCCCCCATCCGGGCATGGCAGATACCTACGGGTGCCCATTTAAAAATCTGCCAAAACAACACACACCTATAATAGGTAAATAATTTACACCTTACAGTACCCAAGTACCCTCCCCCACAGTTAAAAACCACCCAATTGCCTAAGTTGCCACTGGTTAATTAATAATAATAAAAAAAACAATTGGATTTTATTTTGAGCAACCTGCAGGAATCATATCATTGCAGGTGGCTCCTGGCCAAAATGCACTAACCTCATATTAGTCCCGCAATTATTATAATTACAATAAATGCACAACTCATCTTACCAGAAATGGCACGCAGATGATGGACAATTCGAATTTCCATATCAATTTAAATTAATCGCGAAAAAGCTTCTGCGTATAACTATCAAAGTGTGTATTACGAAAAAAATAAGGATGACAATCTGACATTTAGGTAGGTACTTAAAAAGAAGGCACTAACCAAAATCCAAACAATATAATTAATATAATCTGTATGAACATGCTTAACAGCGTTGGAACTTTTATACTTTACCGGACACCCTTTTTTTTGCGATTTTTTTTGAGGGACTTTGTCATATTTTTGACGAAAAAAATTATGGTGAAATCAGATTTTGGGGCTCGGACTTAGTTTCGAAGTTATCGGCGAATGAAGTTGGCTATTCTAAGTTCACTGTGCCTATCATGAAGATTGATGTTTTTGTTTTTGAAACTTGTGCTTTTATGGAGATTACGGTGCGAGGTTATCCACTTTGTCAGGTAATTAAAAACGAAAATATCCACCTAAGTTAAATTAAAAATGTATATTTGTTGCGAAAATGTTATATTTAATGACGGCCGCGGCGGTGACGACGACGACGAGTGAAGTCCAAAAATGTTTATTCTTATATAATGTATAATAATTGTAGTTGATAGTGAATAAAAATTAAAATAGTTGAAAAAATTTGTTGTGCATAGGAAGTGCACAATCTGTTTTCATATAATCTGTGGCGTTACTGCGCATGCGCTGGGACTTGTGATTATTCGCGTGTATGGGCAGTGATGCCTTGCTAGCGGCACTCGTCGCTACGCTCCTCGGCGACGTCGCTCCGCTCCGCAAATCGAAAATATCCCTCGACTTGCTGTGCAACACCACCTTAAGTAGGTCACAGGGTAAGTTATGTCGTAGTATGGGCAGTGATGCTTTGCTAGCATCAATCTTCATGATAGGCACAGTGAACTTAAAATAGCGAACTTCATTCGCCGATAACTTCGAAACTAAGTCCGAGCCCCAAATTCTGACTTCACCATCGTTTTCAGCGTACTTACCTACATATATTTCAATTACAAAAATTGCAAAAAAAAAAGGTGTCCGGTAAAGTAAAAATATACCTTACAAAGTACGAACGTACAACTTTGCAAATTTACGTTCAGCAGAACAAATTGTCGGCTGTTTGCTTTAATATTATAGTGAATTAACCTATTATCAAACTTAAAATGAGGTAGCTCAGTATATTAAGACAGAATATCCAGAATTAAATTTTGAGAATGTCTCTGTTTCCGATAGTTGTGTAAATAATATTTGCAATTTCATTTTTAAGAAAGATGGTGACCATAATTTGAGAAAATCAATAGTAAATGCTATTAAAAGAAAAAATTCATCTCTTCGTATGTGTATTGATGTGGCTAATACATCAGAAATTAATAATAGCACAATAATCAAATTTATACAAAGTTGTAATTACACGTCCAACGATTTTGTAAATTACAATCACGAAACTCTAACTAACATATGTAGAAACATTAGAGTCACTCTAACTAATACTAATAGGAAAAAAGTTTACAGAGAATGTAGAAAGTACCTCAATCTGCCCCCGTGTCTATCAATGGATAACACTGACAATATTGATTCAAATATTTTTTGTTTTAATGAAAATTCTGATAATGTTAATGGTACTTTTGAAAATTGCATTTCTTATTCGGTGCCCACAGATTCCGAACCTCTGGAAAGTGACAATGTTTCATTAGAATATACGAATGCATCGCCAGACTTTGATTTTATTCGGACTGAGAGAGATCCACTAATACCTAGTAGTACTCCAATTCTACCAGAAAACATAACCGATGAATCTGTTTTTGTTACCCCATGTAAAAAAGCAAATAGAAAACATGTACCAAGCCCCCTCAGAAATGCTTTCTATAAGAAAACGCCTGTAAAGTCTGGTGTTGTTCTACCTCTGGGAACAAAAAATCAATTTCCAAAACAATATGACTACAACGATATGGGGTGTCTTGAAGGATCTTTCAACTTTTCATTTGAAGAATGGTCTCTTATGAATTATGTTGATCTCGGAGGTCAAGCCCGTTTGGACAAGACTAAATATCCTGTTATGTTCAGAAAGCGCATAAGGACTGTAAACAATACATGCGTTGTTAATGCAAAGAATGTCAGATATTTTAAATATCACTGCAACGTGTACATGTATTGTAGCCATGAGGGGTGTAAACATTTTAGAATTAAAGTCCAGCCAGCAAACGGAAAATATGTGGCGAATGTGTATAATTCTGGTTTGAATTATCATCACAATCCTAATGACAATGGTCTCACGAACCACGTGAAAGGGTTTCAGCGAGACTTGAACAAAGAAACGCCTTCAGGTCAGACACTGTTGACATGGCATCACCCACACAGTTGAACTGTGGGAAT